AAAAAAAAAAAAGAAAGAGTCTTTATGACACAAAATGCATCAAGTATAAGAGAAAATATTGGTAAACTGGACAACAGTAAAATTAAGACTCTCTATGAAAAGATGCCATAAAACAAATAAAAAAACAAGCCACAGAACAGAAGATATTTCCAGTAAATACAACTGACCAAGAAAACCCTGTCCAGAATGACAAATTACTATGTCAAGAAGAAGAAGATATACAAGCCAATTTCTCAAATAAGCAAAAGGCATGAACAGGGTTGAAGAACATACATAATAGTAAATAAATATGGAGGGTGTCCAACTTTATTAGTCATTGGAAAATACAAATTAAAACTCCAGTGAGAGACTCACCCTTGTAATCCCAGCACTCTGGGAGGCCAAAGTGGCCTACTTGAGTTCAGGAATTTGAGCTGAGCTAGAGTGAGACCCCATCTCTACTAAAAATAGAAAAAGTAGCTGGTGGTGCCTGTAGTCCCAGCTACTCAGAAGGTTGAGCAAGAGGATCACTTGAACCCAGGAGTGTGAGGTTGCAGCACTCTAAATCCAGTGGGATATCACTTCTTCTTTATCAGAACAGCTAAAATTAAGACCAGTGATAACACACATTGGCAAAGATTTCAGTCAACTAGAACTGCCACGCTTTGCTGACGGGGGCATAAGCATGTTTACTTGTTTCATTTATTTTGAAGAACTGATAGTATCTCTGCTAAAATTGACCAAGCAATTTCACAGCTCTTCATTACAGGGTGGCCATAAAGTTCGTGTGCAACTTAAAATCGTCAACTATTCGTGCCTTTTGCTTATTTGAGAAGCACCCTGTATATTGAACAGAACTCTGGAAACATGTTAACTATGTCCTAGAATGTTCATAACAGCATTATTCATAGTAGCATCAAAGTGGAAGAAACCCATGTATCCATCGAGGGTAGAATGGATAAATATTTGTCCCACAGTCATATAGTTAAATATGAAATAAATAATTAAATGAAATCTGCTCCATATAACATGGACGAACCTTGAAATTGTAATACTGAACAAAAGAAGCCCCACACAGAATACTCCCTATTACATTGATATAAAGTCCAAAAGCAGAAACAGGTAACCTGTGGTGGTAGAGGTCAGAGTGGTAGTTAGCTTTGGGGCAGGACTGGACACCTAGTGGGCAAACTGGAATGCTCCACCCTTGATGGGTGGCAGTTACACACGTATGTTCAGTTTGTCATAATTCAACAAATTGTGTTCTTATTATCTTGTATCTTCCTATACGTATGCTGTATTTTGATTTTTAAAGTTAGTTTAAAAACTTACAGCCAAGCACAGTGGCTTATGCATTTTGGGAGGCCAAAAGGGGATCCCCTGAGGCCAGGAGCTTGAGACTAGCATGAGCAATGTAGCAGGACCCCACTTTCAACAAAAAAAAAAAAGAATTTTTTTTAATTAGCCAGGTATGGTGGCATGCTCCCAGTCCTAGCTACTTGGGAGGGTAAGGCAGGAGGATCACTTGAGCCCTTAGAGTTCAAGGCTGCAGTGAGCTATGATACCACTGCACTCTAGCCTGGGCAACAGAGTGAGATCTTGTCTCTACAAAATAATAAAAAACCCACATAAACATAGTCCTGTGCTACCTCTCTGTGACTGTGCCCAGGTAGCAGGTCCAGATGTGGGTATTCATAAACTCTCAGTTACTTGTTCATAGGCTTCTTTGTAGCTTCCTTTCCCATGTGGCATTTTACATATCCTGGATTCAGATTTCACTAATTTAAATCTCAGGGGGTGTTTATTTCCAGGTTTGTGTGAAATGCTTTCAGCTCCCATATGGACAACAGAATGATTTTTATATGTGATTAGGGTTAATACACATGATAAACTGAGTTTATTATAAATCTTCATTTTGGAATATATGCTCAGTTAGATCATTATTACTAGGATTTTCTCCAACAAAAAGTAAGTGCTAGCTCGGCGCCTATAGCTCAACCGGCTAAGGCGCCAGCCACGTACACCTAAGGTGGCGGGTTCGAATCCCCAGCCCGGACCC